AGTTCTGGGGGTATCATTCAATGTAGATGACTATTTGTCATATATATTGTACAATAGAATTCATATTCTGATATGAGTTTGGGCTACATGGCTGTTCAGGTAGATAATCGTTTGAGTAGATAATGCTGAAATGCATATATGTGTGTATACACATGTGTGCATATATATGTTTATGTACATACATATCTACATATAGACATATATGCATATATGTGGGAAGAGAGGGAAAGGAAGAGAGAATGAAAATTTTATTATTTATAAAGCTTGTTATTTAAATATTCTATTTCCTCTTCTGTTAATCTGGGTTAATTTATAGTTTTGCAAATATTAAATCATTCCATTTATATCATCAGTTTTATTGGCATAAAGTTGGGCAAATTAGCTCCTAACAATTGTTTTTCACTCATCTTCTATGGTTGGGCATTCATTTACCTTTTTCATTTTTAATACTAGCAATCTGGTCTACTTCATTCTTTATTTAATCAAATTAGCCAATGATTCATCTATTTTGTTGATTTTTTTTCATAAAACTAGCTCCTATTTTTATTTATGAGATTAATGTTTTGGGGTTTTTTTCTGTTACTTTTAATTCTATTAATCTCTCCCTTAATTTTCAGGATTTCTATTTTGATGTTTAATGAGGGGTTTTAAATTTGCTGCTTTTTGAGATTTTTCAGTTGTATTCTCAATTCCTTGATCTGCTCTTTCTCCCTTCTACTGAAGTAAGCATGTAGAGATATAAATGTCTCCCTACATACTGCTCTGACAGTATCCCATAAATTTTGGTATATTGTCTCATTGGTGTCATTATATTTAATTAAATTGTTCATTGACCCACTCAATTTTTAGGATTTAGTTATTTAATTTCCAATTAATCTTTAATCTATGCTTCCAATGACCTTTATTATTTATTGCATTATGGTCAGGAAAAAGATACATTTAATATTTCTGCTCTTCTTTGTGAAATTTTTAATCTCTACTACAAGGTCAATTTTTGTTATTGTGCCATGCACATCTGAGACATAGATATACTCTTTTCTATTCCCATTCAATATTCTCTACTAGTTTACAGTATTTAGTCTTTCTTAAATTCTAAAATACATCTCCTTAACTTCTTATTTAATGAATTAACATAAATTTGAAAGGTGTAAATTAAAGTCTCTGACTAGTATAGTTTTGCTCTCTATTTTGTCCTTAATTCATTTAACTTTTCCTTCAAGAATATGATTTCTATATCATTTGGTACATATATGTTCGTTACTGTCAACACTTCTTTGTCTATGGTATCTTTCAGCAAAATGTAATTTTCCTGCTTATCTCTTTTAATTAGGTCTGTTTTTGCTTTTGGTTTGTCTGAGATCATGATTGCTAACTTGGTCTTTTTTACTTCAGCTGAAGTAAAATAGATTCTGTTCCTCATTTTAACTTAAATATTGCTCCTTAAATATTTATTGTGCTCTCATTTTAATTTTGTATCATTGTGCGTCAAGTGTATTTCTTATAAACAATATATTGTTGGATTCTGGTTTCTAATCCACTCTTCTAGCCTCTTCCAATTTATCAGTGAGTTCATCCCATTCATTTTCACATTTATGATTGCTAACTGTGTATTTCTCTCCATCTTATTCTCTTATACTTATCCTTCTCTTTCTACCCTGTCTCCTCCTCAAGTATTTGTTTTGCTTCTGATCAGTGGCTCCCTAGACCTACCCTCCCTCAAATCACCATGACAACCCCCTTTTACATAGCCCATTTTCCTCCCTACTCCCAACTGGGTAACATGGAATTTCCATACATAACCATGCATGTTTGTAAATTCTTCTCTTCTTGAAGTACAGATGAGAGTAAAGTTGAAGGACTGCCCACTTCCCCCTCCAATATTTTTCCTATTATATAAACTCTTCCTTGTGTTCTTTATTTATGTGAAACAATCTCCTCTATTCTCTCCTCCACCATCCCCCAGTGCATCTCTCTTTCTCACTCTTTCTATTCTTCTTTTGAGATCATTCCAACATAATAGAACTTACACGTATACTCTTTGTCTAAGTAGACTCTAACTGCCCTAGTAATCATAAAATTCTTGGGGGTTACATGTATCATCTTCCCATACAGGAATGTAAACAGTAAAACTTTGTTTTAGTTCCTTACAATTTCTTACTCCTGTTGACCTTTTTATGCTTCTCTTGAGTCATGTACTTGAATGTCAAATTTTCTATTCAGTTTTAATCTCTCATCTGGAATGCTTGGAATACTCTAATTCATTAAATGTCCATTTCCTCCCCAAAGGATACCCTCAGTTTTGCCAGGTAAGTTATTCTTGTTTGTAATCTTAGTTGCTTTGCCTTCCAGAATATCATATCCCAAAAGTCCTCTGCTCTTTTAGGTGGTAGCTGCTAAATCTTGTGTCATCCTGACAGTGTCACCATGCCATTAGAATTCTTTCAGCTGACTGAAGTATTTCTTCCTTGACCTGAGAACTCTGGATTTTGTCTATAATATTCCTGGGTGTTTTCATTTAGGGAATCTCTTTCAGGAAGTGAGAGGTGGATTCTTTCAATTTCTAGGATGCCATCTAATTCTAAGATATCTGGACAATTTTCCTTTATAATTTCTTGAAATATGATTTCTAGCCTCTTTTTTTGTTCATAGCTTTTAGGTTATCCAATGATTCTTAAATTTTCTCTCCTTGATCAATTTTCCAGGTCAGTTGTTTTTCTTATGAGATATTTCAGACTTTCTTCTCTTTTTTTCTCCAGTCTTTTGTTTTCTTGTTTCTTGATGTATCATGGAATTATTAGTTTCTATTTAACCAATCCTAATTTTTAAAGCGTTATTTTCGTCAGTGAGATACTATACCTCTTTGAACATTTGGCCAATTCTGATTTTTAAGGAATTATTATCATCACTGTTTTTAGTGCCTCTTTTATCAAGCTAATTCTTTTTTCATAATTTTCTTGCATTGTTCTCATTTCTTTCCCCATTTTCCCCTCTACTGCTCATATTTGATTTTTAAAATAATTGTTTTTTACATGCTTTATTTCTTTCTTTAGTGCTTCAAGGAATTCTTGCTGGGGCTGTGTTCAATCTGTATTTTTCTTTGAGGCTTTGCTTGTAGTGGTTTTCACTGTATTGTCTTTTTTTTGAGTTTCCCTGTCAACACAGTAGGTTTTTATGGTCAGGTTCTTTTTTTGCTTGTTTTCGCTTGTTCAATTTTCCAGCCTACTTCTTAATTTTAGATTTGATTGTGCACTGCTCTCTGCTCCTTACACAGAAAGGGCCTCTGCTACTTTGTGGCTAGGAAGGAAAAACTTTATTTGTTGGGCACTTTCTATTCTTTATTCCTTGTCATTAGTTTCTGGATGCTGTTTTTCTGATTTAGCTTTTATTCAGCTTATAAATCTCACTAGTCACTGTTTTTTCCAGGACAAAACAACATGATACAGTGGGAAAGTCTCTACTTTAGAGGTCAGAACATTTAGTCTAGGATCTAGTCATAACTTCACTACTTACTACTGCGGAGATCCTAGAAAATCTTTTCACTTCCTTAGGCTTCAATTTCCTCATCCAAAGGAGATGGAAAGGAGACTAGAAAACTCCCATTTTTAGGCAAGAACAATTTTAAGGCTAGGCTACAGCTTTTTTTAAGATACTGTATTGAGTACAGAGAGGCACTATGATATAATGAGAGAGACTGAGCTTAGGAACAGAATGACTTGAGTTCAAGTCCTAACTCTAACATAAACTAGCTTTGAGACCATGAGAAAGCCAGTTAACTTCTCAATCTATCAGCAAACTATTTAAGACTACAAGTTACATGACAGCTGACAATCAGAAACGGGAGAATGAGTAACATCCTAAAATTTCACCATATGAATGAAATCATAGGTCTGTCTCCTCTCTCTGCTCCCTACCCCAGTAAATGTATTGAAAACATTTTATAATTATAAATTTAATATAGAGTGGATAGAGTGCTGTGGCCTGGAATCAGGAAGACCAGAGTTCAAATCTGACCTCAAACATTCATTAGCTGTGTGACCCTGGGCAAGTCACTTAACTTATGTTATCTTCAGTTTACTGAACTATAAAATTGGGAATAACAATAGGACCTTCCTCCCAGGGTTGTTATGGGAATCAAAAGAAATAATATTTGTAAGGCATTTAGCACATAGTAGGCCTAATAGAAACGCATATTCCCCTTTCTCTTATCTTCCTAATCCCCTTTTGCAAAACGTAATATACAGAAAGGCAATATGATGTGTCTCTTCCTATTATTAGCACAGCAACATGATGTGTCTCTTCCTACCACAGTTCCATTTCATATAGTCAAATGAGAGAAAAAAGCCAGCAGAAACTCTCATGGTGCTAAAGAAAAGAATTCTATTGGAATAAAGGCTATATATATTATATATATTTATATTTTTTTCTTACAGCCCCAGAATGGATGTTTTAGAGGATGAAACAAATAAAAAATGCCTGGTAAAAAATAATATGCAAATCTAGGACTATGAGAACTTCAAATAATCAGAGAACAGAGATTTGACTTAGAAGAGAAAAAGACAATATAAAATATGGAGAGAAAAAAAGAAAAGGCCATTAAGCTGTTAGAAGGGGTAGAAAAAGGTAAAGACAATATTCTTTGTCTTCAAGTAAAGTGAATTTCATGTAAAATATCAGTGAAACTTGGTACAATATGCAGGACTGAGAAGTTTCAACATATATCAGGTAGACTGAACCCCTCACCAGTTAAAATTTAATGATTTTGAACTCCTACAAGAACATAATTATCTAATAAGTTCTCCCATAATGGTCGTATGAAAACACAAGACAGCAATACTGTGAAGCTCCAAAATACTGATTTCTATTCTTCCTAAAATTGCGAAGTAATAGAGTTTGTGCCAATTTCTGAAAATGGAATTCAGTAATCCTAAAATCCTATTAAAATGTCTAAGGATAAGTTTGCATCCTTGCCAGGAGTAAGAGAGGGAAGATAAGAGGAGTACCTTTTGCATCATCAGAACCTGAAGCCAAAAGTTTTGGGTCCATCAAATTAAAGTCAACACTCCAGCATCTTTTCTCATGTTCCTAGTTCCAAAAAGAAAAGAAGGCAATCTCAGTAAAAAGATTATCTTCAAATGTAAAAAATAAGAAAATTAAAAGTAAGTCAATTTTGGTATCAATGTACTGTTATATTGAAGAGGGGAATGTGAAATTAAGGATAGATGAAAGGCAAGAACTTTTTTTTCTAACTATAATGCTGCTCTGAAACTTTTTATAAAAACTCCATATAAGTTTATTTTCAGGGACATTCATCTAATCTACTTGATGGCAATGCAGTTCTGAAGAGACGCTTTTCAGCTCTGTTCCTATTTCAAAGAATGTACTACTATACTAAATAAAACAGAAAGCTACAATCAAGTGGCAAAATCAAAGTAAAAATGTAATTCTTTAATCATCTTTTATTTATTTGCATACATATAACCAAAAAACTAGAACCCTTCTTTACCTGGTAGACCTTTGACCTCTGTCCTGTGAATCCATCCCATAGGATGACTGTGCCTTCATAATCACTGCTGGCCAATAGATTCTTATGGTAACTACTCCAGCTGATACAGCTAAAAGAGAATTAAAACATTACTTTAACTGACAATTTGTAAAAACCAGGAATATCCATTATGTAAATCTTTGTGTCACCAAAAATGTTTAGGCAGCCAAGGAAATCTTCACCAGGGTGTCTCATAATTATGAAGATAAAAGGGATCAATTACTATCAAGAAGCTGAGATACCAATGGACAGGTAGGTGGTTCAGTGGACAGAGTGCCAGGTCTGTAATCAGGAAGATTCCTCTTCCTAATTCAAATTGAGCTTCAGGCACTTACTAATTGTGTGACCCTAGGCAAGTCACTTAATTCTGTTTGCTTCAGTTTCCTCATTTGTAAAATGAACTGGAGAAGGAAATAGTAAACCACTTCAGTATCTCTGCCAAGAAAACCCCAAATAGGGTCACAAAGATCAGACACAACTGAAAACAACTGAACAACAAGATACTAATGCTAGAAGTTATACAATTCACTTTCATTAAAGTTATTACCACCACTCAAAATCCTTTAAAGCAATGTGACCCAAGCTTTATTTTGTATACCAGCTACATACTATGCACTGTGACAAATGGTTCTGTGAAAAATGTTCAATGCTAACAAGCTATCTAGAAGGCTTCCCAAAACAGTACAAAGACCCCTCTGACCTGAAGAGACTTAGAAGCAGGGCTTCTTAAACTTTTTCTACTCGCAACACCTTCAGCACTTCTTAACCCCATATGGTTTAAGAATCTCAATGAAACTAGACCAAATAATCCCACTTTGTATATACCAAAATATTACTTACATCTTTCAAAAGCCCACCTCCTACAAAGAATCTTTCATTAAAAAAAAAAATGGAATCAAGGTAACATTTCTCATTTGGCCTCTGCATTCATATTCTGACTAAAGAAAAATAATCATATATAAGGGATACATGTTGTATTTGTCACTCTTGTCTGACATATAATAGGGAACATACTCCATATATACTATTTAAAAATTCAAGCAGAGGATTTACCACATGGTAAGAACTTAAGAAAGAATGGATAATCAAAAAACTGACAACAACAAAATTATTTATATGTACCATATTAATCAAAGCACAAAGCAACATGCATACCTGATTTTGGAATTGCAGGTCATTTCATTTTCAGGGTAATGAATATCTACTGCATCCTGTATGACTGTCCCATATTCATATACTTTGATCTTCTTTGTTACCCCAGCAATGGCAAAATAGTCACAATCCCGGTCAAATTCAATACTAAAGAGAAAAAGTATATGGGTTAGTAACTAAGTATACACAAAACCCTATGACAATAACTAAGACAATACTTCAGGATTATGCTGTTTTCTAGACCTAGTGTTTTTGTCTCCCAATATAAGGTGGCTTCCTGAAATAGCTTCAAACTGTGCTGGATTCCTGTGCCCATGTTAAATCATTATCAAGCCACATCATATTGAAAGGAGAAAAAAAGTATGTATAACTTCACATTATCTCTCTGGCAGGTGGAATTTTTGCTTATAAGCCATCTAAAATGTTTTTTACTTCAGCTTTACTGACTACATGACAACATAATCAAATAAGGCTAATATACCACACTGTGAGAATAGTGAAAAAAGATTTGATACTGGCATATGAATAAAGAAATCACAAGCTGATTACTCATTGATTTCTTAAGATGTTTCAGGTTCTTCTATACCTTGATTTTTTTTTTAGGGTGGGAGATGGGGTTTCCCAGATATTAATATTAAATACTTAACAAATCAGTCCTAGTGGCAAGCTTTGAAAGTATGTAAACAGATGAGGGTTGGGGGTGGGGGTGGAACACAGGACATATCATCATACAAAAATTTAAAGGGTCTAATAAAAATCTAAATATTAAGTGGATACAATATTTGGGATTAAGAGATCTGGTGTGAAACTCTGATGAGACTAAAACACAAGGCTACTGATTTTTTCAATCTACAGATAAGGCAGCAATTGTCAAACTTTGTTAAGCAATTCATTTTTGCTTAAAATATTTAACACACACTTTTTATTAAATAATCTGTGATGCTGGTAATTTCGAGGCTTATATTTTGTTTCAAAAATTTAGAATTTACTTATCTTCTGTGACATAGACAAAACTCAAACATATAATAAAAATACCACATAAAATAACAACTGCTGCATTGTATTCACTATCTTAGGTTTCTACATTTAGAAATGACAAGGACATTCAAGGTTATCTCCCCTCATTTCAAAATTGAGTAAACTGAGGGCCAGAGAGGTTAAGTGACTTGAGAAAGGTCATAAAGACAAGTGGCCAAGAGAGGATTTGAATGCAGGTCGTCCTTTGACTCCCAACCCAGCTCACTTTTCACTCCACCATATGACCCCCTGTAAGGGGAAGAAGAAGACAGAGGCAGAGGCTCTCCCCAGTCTATACCCATACCTGGGCCCCAAGGCTAAGGAGCAGAAAGGGAGTGGTCACTCTACCTGGAGATAAAGTACACCATCTCATCTGGGATCCTTCCCAGCTTGAGGGAACCTCTGTACTGTCCCACAGAAGGATGGGAGGCCGGCATTATGAAACATCCTGCCAGCCTCCAAAGGAGGCGAACGGTGTTTTACAAGAGCAAGTATGGCTGTAGGGAGGGACTGATGACAGGCATTCAAACCTCCTCATGGTATGCGCTCATAAGTGCCCACTTTGTTCCTTGAGTGGAGGGTCCTCGCACTTACCCTTTGAAGCACTGTCTTTTGCTGACAGAAGGTAGACCCAGTGCAAGAATGGAGAAGGAGAGCATCAGAAACTGTGCTCTGCCTCCCACATGGTCAAGTGAGGGCACATTCTTCCTTCTGCTACCCCACTCCCACCAGCTGAATGAGATTCATGCTTTTAGTCTTAGGGAATGATAGGAATGACAGACTGAAAACTGGAAAAAAAAAAACCTTCAAGGCCACCTAGTCCATCCCCTTTACTTCACAGATGAGGTTAAGTGACTTGCTCTAGATCACTAGGTAATAAGTGTGAGAACTGGGATTGCACCTGGGTACTCTTACTCCAAATCCACTCTACTTTTCACTGTCTCACTTGCTGATTTTGATTTAAACTTTATTTTTATTTTTAAAAAGCAGATGTATTTATGTGGGATTTGTATTTAAAATGTCCAATAATTTTAGCCAATGTTTTGCTCTTTCCCTTACTCTTAGAGAGTGTTAGGGGAGACATACCCCACAGTTTGAAACAATTATAAGTCAACTGATTAATAATCAACCAAAGCTCTTCTCTAAGAAGACAACTACCTAAGATTCCAAATCTTGAATCAATTTTTTTCCATATCCTGGATGTTAAATTTCTTCACTTTAGAAGGTTAAACACTATAATTTGTAAGTGTTAGTTATGTATACAATGTAATGAGTTTAACTTCCCGTTTTTTTCAATTTGTAGGAATTATATTTATAAACATAAACCCACTCTAAAACCTGGCAAATCAATCTTCACATTGAAGATTTCTGTACAATATTTGATAACTGAAACATTCATTCATTCCCAGATTCATAATGAATTTCTTTTAGGAATTACTTTCAAAAGGCAGAAAAATTGCTAACACTAAGTCCTAATTTAATTGGAAGTATTTGCAATGGTGACTAAGGTAAGGAAAATAAGTGAAAATGAACTGGGATTATTTTGTATAAGAGGACTTAAAGAGATACCAACTACCACCTTAGTTCCTGGGACTTGCTTGTATTAAAAAAAAAACAAAACCTGTGGTGCTATCTTCTTGGCTCAATCTACTCTCCCATAAAATGAAGCTCTAAAGCACAACCAAGTTATTTAAATTGCATTATTAATTGAACTGATTCTCATTTACTATTTGCTGCTCTATGAATTCATATAAAAGGAACAGTAAACTTAAATTTTCATTATCCCTCTAAATAAAAAGTTCCAAGAAAACATTTTTATGCCAATTACTAAGTCGGTAGATGGTAAGAGGAAAAATGTTTTCTATAATTGATATTAATCTGGACAGCTAAAAATGAATAAGAAGTTCACAAATGATAAAAACTTATCTTAAAAATCTATAGTCTATGACAAAATGCTTGTTAAGTTTCTGTCACTGTTATTATCACATGAAGACTAACATAAGAATGATGAAATGTACAATGCTCCATACGTTAAGCATGTAGTCTAAAATCTAAAAGCATAAACATATCAATCCCTTGCAGGAAAATATTAATGTAACAATTGATTCTATTTAAATCTCAAATGACAATGCATTCATTCCAGTAAGCTCTAACTAGTACATTAAATCTCAAAACTGTCACAAACTATATAATAAATTGCTCTTCTGCAATGAAATGCTAAACTTTGCTAGTCCTTTGTAATCTAGTCCTTCCTAATTTTTTTTTCATTTTTTTAAGGTCTACTTTTATATATTAGTTAAGGTATAATATTCCATAAAACCAAATATTCGTCATTTCATGACACACAAAATCCAGAAATTCTTTTAGCCTAGTTGTCAGGGGTTAGAAGCTTAAAACTGTTAAAACTACTCATACCAAAGACAAGCACCAAAAAATGTTTTTATAAGGGTGGAGACAGGGAACTCAAGCACAAAATAAGCACCGACAAAGTCTATGTTGGAGATCAAATTATAATATCTAAGAGTTGGAAGGGGTCTCAAAGACTAACATGTTTGGCCTAAATCCCTTCTATAACATCCTCAATCAATAAATGTTTATTAAGAACTTACTTTATGCCAATCATTCGACAAGCAGTCATACACCCTTTAGTTAGAGACTTCCACTGAGGAGGGCCCTCAACATTTTCTCCATCTTATTGCACTTTTACCTAGTCCCAATTGTTTTCCTTAAATGAAGTTTACTTCTACTTCTTAGCACAGAACAACTCTAATCTCTCTTCCACACAACAACCCTTCAATTGCTTAGAGAAAGCAATCATGTGCTAAGTCTGAACCAAAAAATATATTCAATAATTGGAACTTTACTCTTTGTAGACAATGTTTCTCCAAATCTTTGATCTGTTTTCTAGTCATGCCTACTACAAATTTTATTTGTGGCACTAGTTTTTGAAACCTCAGTGTAGACCTTTACATTTATCCTTATTAAATTTAATTCTGTTCATTTCAGATCACAGTCCTAGTCTTGGATGGTCTACTGTTCAGTGAAAAATGAATCACTTTCCCAAGGCTCATAAAAAATCCCTTTACTGTGTTCTACAATTTTACCAAGAACAGAAGTCAAGCTAATTTGATCTACAACTACAAACAACATTCCCTTTTGAAATTTGAAAAACATTTATCCTTCTGTAGTACCTTTTCTGTTCTTGAAAATTTTTCAGAGTTTACCAAGAGTGTTTCAGCAGTCATATCTGCTCGTTTTTGCCACATTCTAGGATAAAGTTAGCTTGGATCTACAGACTCAAATTCAGGAAAGACCACCACATGGGGCCTGTTTCCCCATTTATCTTCTCTTTACATTATTTGATAGTTATACTACTCTTCCTTGTTGAAAGGTCTTTTTTCCTTGAAAAGGAAAACAAAAACCAAATAAGTATAAATTCAGGTTGTTGATTTTTTTTTAAATTACCCTCCTATTAATAGCCCATCTACCTTAAACAGTGGTCCTTGAGCATAACTAAAAACAAAACAAAATAAAAATGAAAACAAACTACCAACTTTTTATTTTTTATTTTTATTGCCCTTTATAATCACTGTCAGGCCTTGACGATTCATTCTGGATTTTAGCAAATCTTAGAATTTTTAAAGAACTGTGCTCATGTTTTCTATTCATTCTGAGATACTAATTCTTCTTTCTATCTTCTACACATACCCTTTTAAATTCTGACTATGACAGTGAGCAAATATCTGGTTCTTTCAGCAGAACTGCTTTTCCTCACTAGAAGCATCTCTGCTTTTGTCTTCAGTTTTTCATTCTTGAGAGCTTCTTGGGGCAACTTCCTACCTGTTCTTTTTATGACCACTTTGAAATTTATTCTCCCAAAAACTAGAGCACAATATTCAAATATCCTCATACTGTACAGAAATTTATATTACAGTAATAATTTTCCCAGGTTCTCATTTCCAATTCGGTAACCAGTTCCTCATTGTTACATAAAAAATCAAGTCCAACTAAAAGCCATTATGCAAAAAATAGTGGTCAAAGGATATAAAAAAATACGTTTTGAAGTTACAAACTATTAACAAGCATATGAAAAAATGCTACAAATTGCTATTAATAAAAGGAGTCAAAAC